ATGTGAAGATTTATTCTTGTCATTTTGCTAATTATTTTCCGATTGTTTTGTACATCCTTTATTCATTTCATCCTCTCTTATTGCTTCCCTTGATTATTATTATTATTATTATTTTTGGAGTAATAACCTTTGACTCCTTTCTTTTTCTCATCTACTCTACATATATCTGCTCTATTAGGGAATTTTATACTTTTATAAATTTTAAACTTTTATAATTTCATAAAAACATAAAATGTTATACAATACATGAAAATTTCATGTTTCATGTGTTTTCATGATGGTACACAGTATTCTTTCACTTCCAGATGCAGGACCCCCTCAAGCATTTCTTTTTTTTTTTTTTTTTTTTTTTGAGACGGAGTTTCGCTCGTTACCCAGGCTGGAGTGCAATGGCGCGGTCTCGGCTCACCGCAACCTCCGCCTCCTGGGCTCAGGCAATTCTCCTGCCTCGGCCTCCTAAGTAGCTGGGATTACAGGCATGCGCCACCACGCCCAGCTAGTTTTTGTATTTTTAGTAGAGACGGGGTTTCACCATGTTGACCAGGATGGTCTCGATCTCTCGACCTCGTGATCCACCCGCCTTGGCCTCCCAAAGTGCTGGGATTACAGGCTTGAGCCACCGCGCCCGGCTCAAGCATTTCTTATAGGATCCATATAGTGGTGATGAATTCCCTCTTTGCCTGAGAAAGGTTTTATTTCTACTTCATTTTTGAAGGACAGATTTGCTGGGTGACGTATCCTCAGTCAGCATTTTTACTGGTTTATCTGCACTTTGAATATGTCACCATATTTGCTCCTGGCCGGTAACGTTTCTGATTAGGATCTGCCATTGGTCTAATGAGGATTCCCTTAAACATTACTTGATGCTTTCCTCATGTTCTTTTTAGACTTCTGTCTTTTATTTGACTACAAAGTGCCCTGAAGGAGGCTTTTTCGGGTTGAATCTCTGTGAGGTTCCTTGAGCTTCTGGTATTTTCATCTATCTACTACTTGCAAGAGTTGGGAAGCTTTCAGCTAGTATTTTCTAAAATAGGTTTTGTTTTTTTTTTAATGTCTTTTCTTGACTCTTCTGAAATTTTCAAAAATTCAAATATTTGGTTGCTTTACAGTGTTCTGTCATTCAGGCTTTTTCATCCTTTTAAAAAATGACTAGATTATTTCCAAAGACCTGTCTTTAAGTTCAGAAATTATTTTTACCACTTAATCTAGTCTATTGTTGATGCTTTCTATTGTAGTTTTTATTTCATTCTCTGAACTCAGTTCCAAGATTTGTTGGCTTTTTAAAAAATATGTCTTGGCTGAATTTCTCATTCAGATTATTGTTTTCTTGATATCTTTGTACTGTCAAGCTGTTTTCTATCTCATTGCATTTCTTTAATATCATTATTTTATTTTTCAGGCATTTCATTTTATCATTTCTTCTATCCTTAACATCTGCACATCTGGTTTAACAGGTGCTTCTTCCAATTTTATGAACTGGCTGTCAAAGAAACAAACTTTTTCTTGTGATGTACCTATAGTGTTGGCTGGATAGCATGCTCTAGCTTTGGTTCTGGGTGGGTGCAGCAGCATAGTCTTCACATAATTTATTTGGCTCTAATCAGTGTCAGAGGTGTCTGTGAGTTTCTCAGTAGCTCAGGCTGTAGAGGCTGTAGTAAAGCTATACCAGGGGAAATGCCAGGAAGGTTGGTTTGTGGGCACCAGTTGTAGTGACTGCAGGCTGGGCATGCCAGTTTTTGGGTGTCCAGGTGGTATGTGTGGTATCAGTAGTACAGGTGGCCTATCCCTTGTGGTCCTTAGCTGCGCATGTGGGGACAGTAGTGGTAGAGGTAGGGTAGATGAGGCTAGTCCCTGGGCCCCTGGGAAGTGCCACAGATGCCAGTGGCAGGCAAGGTAGGTTCATTATTGAGCCCCTGAAAGGTGTGTGTGTGTGTGTGCTAGTAGCTGCAGGTATGGTCAGCCAACGCCCAGACCTCAAATGCGCTGGGACGTGGTGGCTAAGGGTGAGGCATATCTAGCCTCAGGCCCTTGGATGTTGTGTGAGGGCCCTCAGTTTTAAGTGGGATAGGTCAGTCTCCAGGTTCCTGAATGACATATACAGGTGCCAGCAGCTGGAATTGTCCTGTCTTCAGGCCCTGGATGTTATCAATGGTGATGGTGGGCAGGGCATGTAAATGTTCATGTCCTTAGAAGGTGTGCTGAGGTAGACCAGTCCCTAGGCCCCTGAAGGCATGTCCAGCTGTACAGTGGTCTTGCTGCTGGAGGATGTGAGTTGCTGTCAATGATAATGTTCCTGTGCAGGCAACTCCAAGGCTATGGTAAGCACATGCTTCATTTCCCTTCATGACAGGGACAGCCTCCCTGGCACACTGCACTGCCCATTCCGCAGGGTGAAGGACACTGCACGAGACAGTCAAGGACCTAGCTGCACCCTGGGTGCAATTAGTGTTGCAACTTCGCAGTTCTCTGTGTGAACATGAGTTGTCAGTGGGGTCTGAGATATGTGGAAATGCAGGGGCTACTGGGCCTCACTGCAGGATGTATTCCGATGGGGGCTGAGCTCTGAAAATGACACTGTGTTGCAACTGTCTGGATCTCAGGTATGTAGAGGGAGTGCAAACTCCCTCTCTGAAACAATACCATGGTGTGGACTTCAGGGAGCTCCCTATCCTAGTCTCAAGGCCCATGAAAGCCAAGGGGCTCTCTCCTAAGTAGGGCTGCAGTAATCTTTGGTGCAAATGTGAACTATTGATGATCTCTCCCTTACCTTTTCCTGGCAATGGGCAATTCCTCCTGGCTCTCAGGTGATCCTGGCTAGGCTGGCTACTCTGTTTCCACCTCCTGTGTCTCAGAGGTTCTCTGTCACTTCCTTGCTAAATTCTTCTGTTCTCTTTTAAATTTCCTATTCATTGTGTGTTTACCTACATGTTGATTTGGTCCTTCTTTATGGAAGATACAAGTGCCTCTGTGACTCTGCTCAGTCACCTTGAAGTCCCCTCTCTGCTTTTCTTTCTGTAGATACAGATTCCTATCTTATATTATTTTCCCTTTCTATGAAGAACTTCTTTTAACATTTCTCACAAAGCAGGTCTATTGGCAACAAATTCCAACAATTTCTGTTTGTGTGTGTGAAAGTCTTTATTTCTCTTTCACTTCTGAGGGATAACTTTGCTACAGACTTATAGGTTGGTGGGTTTTTTCTTTCAACACTTTAATAACCAAAATATTTCACTCTAGTTTCTTCTTGCTTACATGGTTTCTGAAGAGAAATATAACGTATTTTTTAATCCTTGTTCCCTGTGCTAAATGTGCTTTTTATATGCCCCCCCACCGCCTTTTTTTTTTTGAGACGGAGTCTTGCTCTGTCGCCAGGCTGGAGTACAGTGGCGTGATCTCCACTCACTGCAACCTCCGCCTCCTAGGTTCAAGCGATTCTCCTGCCTCAGCTTCCCGAGTAGCTGGGACTATAGGGGCATGCCACCAAGCCCAGCTAATTTTTGTATTTTTAGTAGAGATGAGGTTTCACCATGTTGGCCAGGATGGTCTCAATCTCTTGACCTCGTGGTGTGCCCATCCTAGCCTCCCGAAGTGCTAAATTGCAGGCATGAGCCACTGCACCCGGCCTATGTTTTCCTTTTTAAAAGATTTTCTGATTATCTGCAGTGTGACTATCTTATGTACAGGTGTGGATTTTTCGATTGTTTGACCTGCTAGGTGTTCTCTGAACTTTCTGATTCTGTGATTTGATGGCTGTCAGGAATTTTGGAAAACTATCAGCAGCTAGTTTTTCAGGTATTTCTTCTGTTCTTTTCTCTCTTTATTCCCATTATATGTCTTAAATATTGTTCTTTCATTCCTTTTTTCCCTTCACTTTTCAGTTTTTGAAGTTTCTACTGACATATCTTTAAGTTCACTCATTTTTTTCTTGTGTATAATCTACTGATAAGATCAAAGGCATTCTTCATTTCTGTTGCAATGCTTTTGATTTCTAGCACTCCTATTTAATTCTTTCTCAAAAGGTTTCCATCTCTGTGCTTACATTTCCACCTGTTCTTGTATGTTATACACTTTTCCCATATATTTTTCCCTTAGTATATTAATTATAGTTATTTTAAATTTCTGGTATAATACTTCCAAAATTTCTTCCATATCTGGGTCTGTTTCTCATCCTTGCTTTGTTTCTTCAAATTGTGTATACTACCATTTGACATGTCTTTTAATTTTTTGCTAAATGCTGGATATGATACATTGGGTAAAAGAAAGAAGTAAATATGCCTTTGGTGTGAAGCATTATGCTTACCTGGCAAGGCATAAGGCTATGTTTAATGTTTGTGTAAACAAACTGTAAGTGCCAGAAGTTATAATTTCCTCTGATATCTTTGTTTTTCACATCCCTGTTGTCTTTGGGTTTCCCTAAGGTACTCCTAAATAATCTAAGCCTTACAGTTATTTTAGTTGTGATTCCCTGTTATTACTTATCAGCCATGTTGACATGACAGTAAGGTGTGGGATAGGGAGGAATCATTCTTTCATCCTGTAATTAGGTCTTCGTGGTTTAGTGGTCTGTGTCTCTTGGCTGTGATCTTCAGTGCTTTTTTGGTCAACCCATCCTTAGATGAGATAAGAAAGCAGGAGGGGTCTAAATTGGGTATTCTCATTCTCCCACTTTGGTCAGACTCTGATAAAACCCACAATGGTTAGATGCTGGTAAAATAGTTTGCCCTGGGGGCAAATCTCTGTTAAAAAGACTGGAAAGCTCTGATCATCTTTCAAAAATTCCATAAAAGAAAAATTCATAAGCAATAATTTTTAATAAGTAATTTTGAAATAAATTATTTTGATGTCTTCCAGTAGATTCTAACTAAGTGGGATAAAGTATAAAGTTTATCTCACAAGTAAAATTACAACATTAAAATAGTTCAACAGCCACTGTTTTTAATATAAATTATTATATTTGGTAATAGAGTGGTAAACATAAAAGTATCAATGGATGTTCTTACCATGGAAATGTATTCATTCGTACCCTGTTCTTATAAATCAGAATTCCTCCTGACATCACTCCAATCATAATTTCATTGTTACTCTGATCCTTCAAAAAAAATGAATAAAAACATGATAAATCTAAATTAATGGGCTTTGTTAGAGAGATTTTTTAAAACAGGAGTCATTTTTATTTTTTAAACTAAACATGGCATTTTCAAAGGTTACAAAGAATTGCATACTGATTAGAGACCCAAATGGTAGTTGTTACCACATAAAAATAAAGACCAAATTTTAAACCAAACTGAAATGTGTTATTAAAATACATTATCTAAAGCAAAACGGACTTCCCAGAATTTATGACTAGAACTGGCTCTTTGGAGTAGGAACCTAGAATCTAGAAATCAGAGACCTTTTCCTCTGGTAGAATGATGACTTAGTATTCATTTTACCATTCCTAAAACTATTACAATCCATTTACTAAGCAGATGTGATGCTAACAATACAAACATGAATAAAACATGGAGGAGTTCAGGGTTTGGTGAAGGGGAGCCCAATAAAGCGGTATTTACAACATAATAAGAAATTCAATACCTAACATAATACATTAGAAACATCATGAGAGTTTACAATAGAGAACAATTCTTAGAGAGCTTAGAAGACCCCAGAGAATAAAATTTGAACTGTGCACTGAAGAATAAGTGTTTTCATAGTAAATTACTCAATTTGAATAGCTAACTTACATTAATGAGAGAATGGGTAGAACAAAAATACATTTCTTAGATGCTAATCTACCTTGAAACCATTTTGCTTATTTAAAAGATTCTACAAGTAATCTAATATAGAAGGCATGCTTTTACCACCTACCATTCATTTAATCAGAAGACAGAACTTATTAGTGAAATATAAACTAAATTTTATCATTGTCTCCTTAGAACAAATACTTTACAGTATAAATCACATCTAATGAAATAAAATCTTATTAAGCTGTTAGGTAAGATCATGCATAATTGGTTAAATGCAACAGTGTATATTAATTTGCATGGCTGCTTTTTCTTTTGACTAGCAATAATCAACATTATTTAAGTGCACTATTATCAGAGTGTCAAAAATCATGTTTTAAAGGACATCAATTAGAAGTTTGGATCAAGACGTGAAACTGAGCCTAAATGATGGAGGGGTAAATATATACTCCTACTAGTATATCTGCTTCCAACTTCATGAAACATTAGAGAAGATATACAAAAAGCAAAAGAATCTGTAACACTTAAAAAACAATCTATAACATATGAACATGTTATCAGTGGACCAGATATCTTGAGAAATCCTTAACATATAAAGTGATAAATAAGACTAGATTTACTGAGAGGAAAAAAAGTTCATAAAACCACAGCCCAAATTATGTAGGAAAGAGACTACTCTATGTGGAGTTAAAAACTGAAATGAAATTTTCAGGTATGTTCAGATATGATGGATAAAAGAATTGAGAGGGCCTCCAAATTACTGTCAGGATAATCAGGTAGGGAGTAGCTGTGGTAATTAGCTCCTAACAATCCCACAATCCCACTTCAACTGGATTCAACTAAAGGAAATAAACATGTGAAGCCTGTCTAAAATAGCTATTGTGGACAGTAGGTCCAAAATTTAGAATTAAGGGTAATCTTCAGAAAGGATGAATAGAGAGCCCCAAATTGAAAGAGGCAAACTACAGGCAAACTGTAGCTGGCTTCATATTCCTTCCCATCTTAGCCATCAGGTAAGGCAGACTACAGTAAAGAGAAATAGCATCTGCAACCAAGAAATCCCAAATACAAAAGAGAGCACATAAACAAAGATCACCAAGTATTTGTGGAAAGCTAATACCATTAGAGAGGTATACCAAACCCAGTAAACAGATAAACCAATCAAGATACAATGTTAGTAGAAAAACAAGTTTAAAAAATAACATGTTCAGAAATATGCAGGAACTCAAGTTTTAAATTATAGATATCCAGACTAAAGTGGCAGTTCCCAAGGCATTCCTAGACATGGGTAAGATAAAACAAGAGAAGAAGTATTATAGCCTTCATGGACACGAATGTTATTAATTCCAATGTCTACAAAAATACAATTTGACCATCTTAATTAAAAATATCTTACTTTGCTTTTCTTCATATCACTTATTATTTACTACTGTACCATAAATTTAATAAATAAATTACTCACTAGAACCCAAGTAACAAAGAGTAGAGCTATTTACTGAGTTCCTAAGCAAAGAAAAAAAGTACCTTGTATTCTTTTGCGGAATGAATTGTTCCCTATTATTGTCTGTATGAAAATGTCTTAGCTGTTTAGCTTGGCATCCAAGGCCTTTATATAACCATCCCCATTTAATCTCCCCTCTCTAATTAGTAAAAATCTTCTACTCTAGCCAGGCCATTTTTATGATGTGTTTTGTGCGCCCACAATTCCATGTTAATACTGTTCTCATGCCTTCTTCATATCTCCCTGCCAAATCAAGCCAAACCAAACCGAAGTCTAGATTACATCCGTTTTCTCTGTAAAAACTTTATTAGACATCTACATGCTTCTCTCATATTTATCTGTTTCTTAAACCACTTATCTGAAAGACCTAATTATTGTGCAGATAAGGGCTAAGATTGGGCATAACAGTGTCTTTCAAATTATATGTGGTAAAGGATCAGTTATGTTTTGTTGTTTTTGTTGCTTAAGTTTCCAATCGGTTAGCTACTAACGCTTTTGAAAAATACACTAACATGCTTTATGTCAGACTGCTGTAAAAGTAGCTAAATCTTACACTCAATTGCTATATGTGTCTTCATGAAGCAACTACAGTTTACAGAATGGCAACAGTCTATGGATCATACTTGGAACATCAATGAACCATTACAACACTTCATATTCCTTCAAACAGCTTACTTCTCAAATAAGTTATTTGATTTCTGATGGTACTTTTATGTTTACACTTAGGCAGTCATATTACTGGAGAATGTTTGATATAAAATCAGATTATAAAGATCTGTGATGAGCTTTATGTAGTTACCTTTGGAACTAAGATTAAATGATAATTCAAAGGGAGAATTTATAATGTGCAGTAACTATATGATTTGACAATGTAAATTCAGAGCAACTACAAAAAAAGAAAGGAAAAGGGAGATACAAATTTTAAAAGTTAAAAATTTTAATTGATCTAGTAATAACTGACATGGTAATTATAAGCACTATTTTCAATATAGGATAGGATAAAGCAAATAAGTAATTATAGGATATGTGAATTCTAGAATTCCTCGAGCCCTAAGAACCAAAATATTCTGCGTATCTCAATATAGATACTATATAGATACTATGCTAGTACGGACAGATCCCAACTCTATACGCTTAAAAAGCCTAGAAACAATTACCAACCCAGTAGGAATAAGCATCCTCAGCACCTACACTGAGATTTCCGAAATATCATTTTCCATTAAAGGGGCTTCTTCAAGAAACGGCTAATTCCATGTCTGTGGCAAAACATCTTAAAAACACCCCTGTAATCTCAACACTTTGGGAGGCTGAGGCGGGCGGATCACAAGGTCAAGACCAGCCGGACCAACATGGTGAAACCCCGTCTCTACTAAAAATACAAAAATTAGTTAGGCATGGTGGCACATGCCTGTAATCCCAGATACTTGGGAGGCTGAGGCAAAAGAATTGCTTGAACCAGGACCCAGGAGGTGGAGGTTGCAGTGAGTCGAGATCGCACCACTGCGCTTTAGCCTGAGCTACCGAGCAAGACGCCGTCTTCAAAAAACAAAAAACAAAAACAAAAAAGCACCTAGATAGCTATCAAAGACTAGGGTAAGGTCATCTTAAAAGGACTTAGGAAGCTGGGTGCAGTGGCTCAGGGATTAAAAGGATTTAAGAGGCTGGGTGCAGTGGCTCATGCTTGTAATCCCAGCACTTTAGGAGGCTGAGGTGGGCAAATCACTTGGAGTCAGGAGTTTAGAGACCAGACTTGCCAACATAGAGAAATCCTACCCCTACCAAAATAAAATAAAATAAAATAAAAATTAGTTGAGTGTGGTAGTGTGCACCTGTAGTCCAGCTACTTAAGAGGCTGAGGTGGGAGAATCACTTGTACCCAGGAGGCAGAGATTGCAGTGAGCTGAGACTGCACCACTGTACTCTAGCCTGGGCGACAGAGTGAGACCTTGTTTCAAAAAAAAAAAAAAAAAAAAGGCTTAGGAGCCAAAAACAGACACATCCCTCCTTGTGACCAAAGATGAGCTAATTTGAGCTTTAATAAGGAGAATAATTTTTTTTTTTTTTTTTTGAGACGGAGTTTCGCTCTCGTTACCCAGGCTGGAGTGCAATGGCGCAATCTCGGCTCACCGCAACCTCTGCCTCCTGGGTTCAGGCAATTCTCCTGCCTCAGCCTCCTGAGTAGCTGGGATTACAGGCACGTGCCACCATGCCCAGCTAATTTTTAGTATTTTTAGTAGAGACGGGGTTTCACCATGTTGACCAGGATGGTCTCGATCTCTTGACCTCGTGATCCACCCGCCTCGGCCTCCCAGAATAATTTTACTGTATTAAATCTTATCAGTAATATCTAATCCACCACTTCATATTCATTACCTTGAAAACTAGGTAAATAAAAGGAAAGAATCAAATATTCTTTTCCACGCCTTTTCTATATGAACTATACCACTGGGTAACTGAATAGTAAAAGAAAGAAAATGACCCCTTATAAAATCATTCCAGCAAATAAATAAAAACAAAGAATATTAAGACGTCTCCGTTTTGCAGCCTCCGATAAATTAAAGGATCTAGGCATACAGCATAAATGGCTGCTAGCATAGAATAAGAGCAAAACCCAGGCATTACGCACCACCTGAAAAAAGAACGTAACAGAGATCAATCTTGAATCTAGAACAAGCCTCTAGAACACGCTGCCAATCTGCAGGAAATGCAGAGAACAGCAAATCATGTTGAATTACATTATAAATATGTGATCAAGTAAAATCCAGACTGTAAAAAACTACAGGTGAAATAGTCCAGTGCTTTACAGGTACATTCTAAGTACAAGAGAAGAAGGAACAAACTGTAGATTAAAAAGAGAGATCTTAG